AGCTTTCCCAGTGAAACAATGCAAAGCTTTTGATGAGCACAATCAATTGATCTTCTTCAGGGAGCCAGCCAGCTCTCTCCTGAGGGGATTAGATGGAAATAAGTCATATTTAGCTGGTGTCTCTTTGTCCTGAGACTTGCTTTAAACTGATTACCGAAATTCATTCTACTCTCTTCCTTAGGACCACAGAACAGAGTGGCCCACTGACCTATCCATTCGAGAACTCCAGTTGCCTAAGTGATAATTGATAGAATTCAACCAAATGCACGGCCTTGACTCTCACCAGAACTATCCCTTTCCTCTCTGCACACACGTGTTCACAGGCAAATAGATGTGCATGTACATCCACAAAGGTCACTGAGGCTCTCTGAGCCCTGCACATGTGTGATGGACAAACTCAGCAGAAACCCTCAATTATTTGTCGTTACTGAAAATCCCTACGTTTGGCTTTTCTTTCACAATGTTTTGAACTGCCCGAGTGAACCAAATTCTCCCTTTCAAGTTATCAGAACTCAGCAGGTTCCGTAAATTTGCTCCTAAATAGGATGCTGTTTGAAGGGACTCATGGACCTTTCCAGAAGTAAGAAGCAGGTAGGTCAGAATATTTCAAAGATGGCATGAAAATCCTTTGAAATGTGGACTGATGAGGTTAAAAATGAGTGTGGTTTAGAGTCTGCTAATTATGCCCAGAGTTCCAGGGAGCTGGAAGAAGCGCACAACTGAATCCTCAGAAAGATTTGTCTACATAAGCAAAGCGAAAAGGAGAGTTGTAGATATCTAAGTAGTCAGCCATTCTCTCTCTAACCTCTATCCCTATTATTGAATGAAAGGCCATTTGGAGGAAGAAACTAATTAATAAAATTGACCATCTTTGCTAATCAGACCCACCAGAAAATTGCTCTATTAGCAACAGGCTAAATGTTGTTTCCAGGGAAAGTAAAAAAGGTTAATGATAGTGTTCATCCTGGGATAACTACAAAAATATTGTTACCGTTACCTCTGAGCAGCAATTTTAACTTCAGAAGACAGGCAATACCAAATTAATGTTCCCACAGCAACTATAATTCAGTCGACTCTGCAAAGCTTTACAGAGATGAGGACAATACCTCTGTATTATTGTTGCTGGGAGAAGTGCAGTTATTTTATTTCTATCCAAGCTGTGGACGGTTGTATTCCATAGTCTTCTTTTTGGAAATGTGGTTGACAAAAGTACTTCTGAACCACTGAAAATACATGTTTTGATACATGGATAAACATTCATGCAGTTCAGAATATCATGTCTATAGGGTCATAATGGCCTCTTGGACAGGAAAATTTGAAATATTCCTCCCACCAGTATAATCCCAGCAATCAGGCTACTGAGACAAAGAGGAGTTAGCGTACTGCAAAATGGAAAATATACCCTCATTTAAACATTCATGAGACTTAATCAGTTATACCGGTGATGATTGAACTTGTGATTTTAAATAAATGGTCTACTAATCTTGGTTGGACTTCTAGTATTCTTTTTGCAGTAGAAAAAAAAATCATCGGACAAGAAATAATGAGAAAAGTTAGAAGCAATATTAGAGAATTCATTTCAGTAAATATTTTAGAAAATTTGTCAGATATCAAAATGTGATAATGAAGTAGAATGACAAAAACTAGTCATTTCCCAATCACTTAACACATTTATTCTTGCAGCCCAGAAATATTGTCTGATATTGACACTGGTATCAAGTTAACCTAATTTTATTGCAGCTTTTCTAGTTATCTGTTTTTGGAATTGTATTAAGCTGATTCTTACCTACCTATCAGAGAAGTGAATAGTTATCCAAGATGAGAGAGAGATAGAAACTGCCCCCCAAACACAGTGCAAAGCTAACAAGTTGGAGATTAAGTGTGAAATCAATAAGTTTAAGAGTATAAATTTAGGACCAAATAAAACTAAATCAGAATTTTTCCCTTCTTCAAAATGGGGGGAGAGAGTATCAAAAAAAATCAGTAAAAGTAACCCAAAAAAGCCATAACCTAAACTAATATATTTCAGTAACTGCTGGCTGAACAGCTTTTAGTTCTAACTCTGCCCCTATTTTCCACCCCTTTAAGACATACCTTAAAAAGAAATGAAATCAGGAGAGGAAATGTGAAACAGGAAAAGGCAGCCATGAGGCTGCTTCCCTATGCAGATGTAAAGGTTCATGTGTGGGCTCAGAATTGGATAAATGATCTAAAATCTGATCTCCATCGGGATGGCCTATGTACCAAGTAGACTGAGTGAATCCTGGTTTAGGACATTAAACATAGTCCCGGAAGAATGAGCACCCAAATTCTCAAACAAAGACTGGACAGCTGAGCTCTCCTTTTTCCTGTGCCCTATAAGAGTAGATAGAGCACAAGGCAATTAGCCCTCAAACTATTGCTTGAAAGAGAAAATTAACTAATCTCAATATGGTGGCAAAAGGCTCAAGGAATCACCCACATGGCAGCTACCAGTACTGTGTCAGAAAGGAACATAGCTTGAGAAAGGAAAGACAGACTAGCCATCAAAGAAAATAAAACTTAAGGAACAGAAAGAGATTTCTCTCAATAGCTTAATAAGAATATAACATATTCTTAGAACTTACTAAGAATATATACGTATCTTTTTAAAAGTTTAAAGCAAGTAAGAATGAAATGAAAAGAAAAATTGAAAGTCTAACAAATCAAGAATAAAAACAACATTTATGTTGATAAAAACAACAGAAATGTTAATGTACATGAGACCCTGTTGAAAATCTGTTTACTAGCAATAGAGAAAAATATTCATATAATTACAGTAAATACAGATGACAGACAAGGAAATTAAAGGCAGAGAAAGAATCTAAAAGATATGAAGACATTAAAATATACAATCTAAGGATAATAATTGGAGACTCTGAACAGAGATTCTAACAAAAGAAACAAAAGAAATACTAAACAATATAAGAAAATTTTCCATAAATGAATAAAGGACCAAATCTATTCCAAGAAATATAGAATGAGCAAAACCTAAACATATCTCAGTTAAGCTCTTAAACTTCAAGGAGAAAGATGTAATTCTTCAGATATCAAAACAATTTCCTACAAGGGAGCAAAAGCCAATTTCTTACAAGGGAGAAAAAAACCAAGCTGGCTTCAGATTTCTCCATTGTCACATTTAGTGCTATGCTATCTGAAAATGCAGAGAGACCCAAGGATGTTATATCCAGCCAAGATGTGGTTAAAACATAGAGGTTACAGGGAGACCTGCTTAAACCTGAGAAACTAAAGCAACAGTGAGACTTTTTTGAAGAAAATACTTGATAATTCGAATCCAGCCAATAAAAACATATCAAAATAACTCGGAAGGAGAGCTGTTATAGAAAAATGACTGGTGAGAATCACTATGTATATTTAAATGTAGAACTAATCTCTAAACAACTATGAGAATTAATGTTAAAGATAGAATACGAATGCTATCAATTGGGCAAAATAAAAATATTAACTAAAAATCATAGAAGATAGAGATAGAAAGAAGAGAGAAAGTACTGGAGTTTTTATCTTTCCCAATTGATTCCCAGTCAATATTGTCTAAAATTGTATCGCTTTAAAATGCCAACACACAATTATTTCAACCTCTTAATATTTCGTAATCTTTTTTTAACCTTAGAATGATCATTCAAGGCATAATTATTATAGTGCAGAAACTTTTACTTGAAGTTTATTAATTCTTTCTCTTTGAGCTCTACTGTGCAATCATAATTAAAATGTATACTTTTTATTTTTAAAAATACACTGAGAGTATGGTCTCATTTTATAAAAGTCTGCATATATATCTTAAAAGGAGGCTGCAACGATGTTCATCTGATATTAAAAAAATGATTATTTCTAAGTTGTGAGACATTTTTAAAAACTTTAATTTTTGCAATGTTTGGCATTTAAAAAACGTATTCTAAATGATTATCCTTTGTGTTATGAAAACAACTGTGCAATTTTTTTTTTAAACTAGAAAAAAAAATGCCAGAAATGATTAATTGTGGATGATGTGAATATTTGGAATTATTTTCTTCTTGATACTCTTCTGTAATTCTTTAAATTTAAAAAATTAAAGAATTAATGAATAAAAGTGGGTAGAGGGTGAGGATAAGAGAATATGATACCGTGTGTTTGACGACATTCTCTCCCCCTGCTCCCCCCGCACATACACACAACTCCTTTCGGGGGAATTCAGTCCAGAGAGCACTGCAATCTCTTCCAGGTCCATCTTACTGAAAACAGTTGTAGAAGCTACTAGCTCTCAGTGAGCAGATCTTTATGAGGCTGGCTTAAGGGACAATTTTCTTTCCACCAGAAGGGGTAGAACAGCTTTGGGCACACTATGAAAGAGGACAGGAAAGACACTTTTTGAAAACAATTCTACTTTGGGGCTCAAATTTTTGAACAGCTTTATGGAGATATAATTCACATGTCATAACATTCACTCTTTTAAAGTGTACAATTCAGTGGTTTTTAGTATATTCACCAAGTTGTGAAACCATTACCACCGTCTAGTTCCAGAACATTTTCATTACCCCCAAAAGAAACTCCATACTCACTAACAGTCAGTCCCCATCCCTTCCTCCCACCAGTCCCTGGCAACTACCAAACTACTTTCCGTCTGTATAGATTTGCTTATTCTGGCCATTTCATACAAATGGAATCACACAAATGTGATCTTTTGTGACTGGCTTCATTCACTCAGCATAATGTTTTTAAGGTCCACTCATGTTGTAACATGCATCAGCACTTCATTTCTTTTAATGCCAAATAATATTCCATTGTTTGGGTATATCACATTCTGTTTATTTGTCCATCAGTTGGTGGACACTCTGGTTGTTTCCACATTGGCAATTATGAATAATGCTGCTATGAGCATTTATTTACAAGTGTGTGAACAAGTTTTCATTTTTCTTGCTGAATCATATGGTAACTCTGTTTAGGAGCTCAAACATTTAAACTTCCCTCTTCTTCTTTGTTCCCAGGCAGAAATGGTGCATAGCGCTTTCCAGGCCCAGCGGGCTTTCCTTCTGATGGCCTCTCAGTACCAACAACCCCAAGAGGTAAGAGTGTATCTTGAGAATCAGGGCTGCCCAGAGAATGGGCAGTGTAAGAAAAAAAACAAGGAGCCAGAACCAGTAATTGTGAGAGACATCCCAAAAATGAGATGTGTAACATGTAGATTCTGTCTCTAATCCAGAGAATGGATTAGAACATTTCTTCTGTCTACATAATCTTATCATGGCCAAATTCACACTGTAACAATTGACATCACCAGTTTAAAAGGTCAATTTATTTATGTCATCTGTATCCTATTCTTTTTACTGCTCTCACAATCTTATAATCAAGGAAGTATTTACTACTAATTTTTAGTTCATACTTGTTGCTGCTTTGTTATTGAAAAGTGTTCACATCTGTCATCATCCACATATTCTATGTTTGAATTTGATGATCTTCTATTTCCTAAATAGCATAGACAGGCTAAACTAGTGTGTAATGAGTGAAATTATTCATTAAAAAGTTGATCTATTACCAGCATACCTTGTTAAATAAGAAAAAAAAATAAGAATTGTTCTTTTGACTAAGTATTCTGCATATGAATTTTGGTAACAACCATATAAATATAAGATAATTTAGTATTCATTATAACACAATAGCCTAAATTTAATAGTTCGCCTTGAATTCTAAAGTAAACTCCTGAAATTGAAAAAGTTGAGCCGAGAATCCTGGGAAACTAAGACTTTGGCTTTCAGGGGATGAAGCTCAGTTCCATAAAGGGCCAAGACCTGAGACCCAAGCCCTCCTGAAACAGTGGTTCTCAGCCCTGCCTGTGCAGTAGAATTACTCAGAAAAATATTTTTGAATACCAATGCCTAGATCTCGCTCCAAGAGGTTCTGGTTTAATTGGTCTGAGGAGTGGTCTTGGCCTTGAGAGTTTGGGGACTTATCAGGTGATCCTAACTTGCCACCAGAGCTGCCAACTCCCACCTGGATGGAAATTTTGTCTAAGAAAATGAGGCATTAGCACACAGCCTAGCCAAGCAGCTTTGTAGGGATGGAAATATTCTGCGTTCCACTGCCTCCTTGGCTTTCTCAATCCCTGATTTCCGCCGCCGCAACCCCCACCCTGCCGCCCGCACTTTTGCAAAAGAGAACAATGAAACTATATCGCGATGTGATGTATTCTAGAGACAGCCTTAGCCTGGCTTTTCTGTGATTAAAGTTAGAGGAGAGATGACTTCAGTGCATCATTTAGAGTCTCAGGTAGAGGGAATAACCATGACTTTTCTTGTCTGGTGCCCTACACAATCCCTTCTTTAAGCATAAAACAAAAGACCTCTCTGTTGGCCTTGTAGGCCTTTCACATAAAAGTCGCTTATTAAATATTGGGTAAAGAAGTGAGTGAGTGAACAAACGAATGCATTGGGACCATAGCATCCCAACCCAAAATGAGCCATGGTCAGGGATAATGTGTGACTTAGCATGTGGCTGTGCAGATTCTTGGATGTAATATCTGTAATTCCACCTTCTTATCCTACTGCATTCTTGATAAAAGAGAGAAGAATGGATCTGTTCCAGGGGACTCATACCCAGGAAGGGCATGCACTGGCAATGTTCCTTGTAGCACTTATTAAGTGCTCTGAGCATAATAAACCCCAGCAGAATTGGATAGGCAAAATGCAAAGCAGTTTTTTGATGCCCATCTCCCTTTTTGTCTCCTCCATCTTTACCCAGAAGACTGTCCTAGTACTTCCACTCAATAGAAAAGCAGATATGAGAGGTCACCACCACAGTGGTGAGAACAGTCCATGGCCAGGCCTTGATTTTCTCCATGTACATTCTAGAAGATAGATCGTAAAGAAGATTATCATAAAGCAGGTCATAGTTTCTTGTAGGAACAATGTTGTAATTGTCCACATCATCCTTGCTTCCTTCTTTCAGGAGAATATTAACTCCTGTAATTTCAATTCTCATTAACATATGGCAATGGTTCCCAAACTTTGGTGTGTATGAGAGTCACCTACAGGGTTAAGACACAGATTGCTGGGCCCCACTTAGTGTCCAACTCAGTAGGTCCTGATTGAGGCCCGAGAATCCGCATTTCTAGAAGGTTCTCACATGACGGTAATGCAACATGCTGGTCCAGGGACCACACTTTGAGAACCTGTAGTGTATGGATGGCTCTCACAATTTACTTCTGGCTCAGATTTATTTCAGGTGCTTCCTATTTTCATTTCCAGCTGCCTCTAGAGACCACCGCTTCTCAAATTCTAATCTTCATTTGAATCACCTGGAGATCTTGTTGAACTGCAGGATCTGGATCAGTAGGTCTGTTGTGAGGCCCAACAGTCCGTAGTTCTAACAAGCTCCCAGGTGATGCTGCTGCTGCTGCTGCTGCTAATCTGTTGCTGCACTTTGAGCAGCAAAAATTTGTGTCACCACCTGAAATCCTCTGAGATGGGGCAGGGTTGGAGACAGGCATATAGTAAATATTAGGTGGGAAGAACCCTTAGAAGTCATCTCTTGCAGCACTCTCAATCTAAAGATGAGCCAAGAGAGGTTCAAAGAGAGGATAACTGGTTTACTCATTAGTTCCAAAGCTGATGAGTTACCCCAGGATAACTCTAATGAATTGCCCCAGAAATCCCAGCCAACCTGCTTCACCACTACACCAATACTCTACACTGTTGCTTTAAGCCAGAGTGCCAGCCTTCAAAGAGACTGCATTTAGTAGAGGGTGATCATCAAAAAGTAAAAGTTTTTTATACTTATCAATTATGAGCAAACTGCCAGTTAAGCAAGGTAGACCATTAGTGCTACCGAAATTCAGGAAAGTAGGGATCTTGTAAAGGTATCAGGAAAAGCATCAGAGAGAAAATAAAATGGCAATACAAGAGCAATGATACAGCTGCTTCCAATGTAATATTAGTACTACAATAATATTAATAAACTCAAAAAAAACTGCCCCAGATTAAACATGTTTTGGAAAATCCCATACTCTGTTCAGGAAAGAAACATGTTAAACCTGACTAAACCCACGCTTTCCCAAGCTTATTTGACCAAAGAGGCTCTTTGTAGCGTGACACTTTCTCATATCCTGCAGAAAGCTGGTGCACCAGTTTGGAAAATGAAGACGTGCACATTACTTTTAAGTTAGTGGAAGGATTCTCATATGAAAAATGGCCAAGAAGTCCCCATTCTGTAAGTACAGAAATTTTCAAGAGACCCTGGCACACTCAACTATTCATTTTTGACAGGTGGATATAGGGAAAAATATGTTATTTCTAATTTATGAGCACAAAAAAATGAAATTCAGTCACATATTAATGACCTGGCCATGGGATCTAGACCTGGGCCCCTTACTTTACTCACCATTTAAAGTCCTTTTCATAGACACTATACATAATAAGAGCCATACTGCACAGTCATTTATAGGATTTATATGTCAAAATAAAACTGTAGAAAGTGTTTAATTGAATAGAGAGAGGTGAAAGAAGTGGTTTTTTTTAGGATTGAGACATCTCACATCACCTGAGAAAGATGTGAAACATAATTTTTAATCACCTTCACCATGAGTGAACCCAAAAGTCTGGCCTGAGCTAAAAACATAACCTCCAGTAGACCAGTGCCCTGGATGGCCACCACCATAAGGAATGCCATCACCAGAAGTCTCCAGGCAATCACCCATGTAGGCTCCACCTCCTCCAGCCTCGGTTAATTTGCAGGTAGATGGGCAACACTGGGATGGTGAAGAACTGCCCCTGTCATGCCATAAGTAGAGCAGGCATTCTCCCTCCCTCCCATGCGCACTGTCCATATTCTCTCCAACATTTCTTATGCTGCTAAGACCAGACAATGAAATGGTCTGCATGCACGTGTGTGCCTGTGTGTGTGCGCGCGCATGTATGAATGTGTGTTTATGGAATTAACTGGTGCACAGAGAAAAATATTAACCCTAAGTTTCCAACTTTGGGAAAGATGATTTGTGGTCGTTGACTGCCCTTTGGATTTTATTCTGTTGAAAAGACTAAGAGTCTGAGGATTTTTATTCCTCCAGAAGGAGAGGTGAGTTTCTTCTATTTGTCTTTGTTTGGACTTGTATTTTAAAAGGAAATAGTGCCTTCTTGTGCATAGAGCAGGAATCTAAAACTGACTTTCGGTCCTTTCATTTTTATATACTCTGAAAAATTAGAAAGAGAAGGAAAATGAGAGACTCCTTCTGGCCATTCCTTCTTCTCTGGATGAATATGCACGCCCAGGACAGTGCTATGTTCAAAGCACGCACTTCATAAGGATTTTCTAATGCATGGAGCAGTGATCTCATTTGTTAATAATTTGTTACTCTTAAACTAAGCAACAAAGCCCCATGGCAGCAACCTTAGGACTTCAGCTTGGCACACTGAGAGATCCAAATTACTAGTGGGTGTAAATATGTTTAAGATTTTTACAAAACACATCAATTTGTGAGGGTTGTCAAGAGTAGAAACTTTGCACTTGGGCCTATCTGGATTTGAATCCTAGATCTTCCTCTACTCCTTAGCTCTGCTATTCCAAATGCAAGAAAAACAAATTTATCTCTGCCTCCTAAATTTGAGAATCTGCTCCTTTTTAGGGTGACTTGTGGTAAGCCCATGTTTCCTTATCTTTGAAATGGGGATAATAGTTCCTACTCCATAGAGTTATTGTGAGTACTGAATGAGAAAAAGCAACAAACGTCAGGTGATGGAGAAGAGTTTAGTATTAGAGAAGCCCATCTGCATTAGAAAACAGTCCCCAGTTCTCAAAGGCCTAACAGAGGAGACATTTTTTTTCTTGCTCACATAAGGCCTGCTCTGTGTTTTGGGCTGAGGGTCTTCTGTATGGTCATTCAGAGACCCAGGCTTCTTCCATCTGGCATCCCCTATCTCCCCTAGGTCTTCAGCTATTGAATTGGGAAAGAGAATGCAGGATCATTCCTGAGAAAGTTTTATGGGCCAGGCCTGGAAGTAGCATGTGTCACGTCCATGGTCATTCCTAGCAGCAAAGGAGGCCGATCAACCTGTATGCCTGGAATGAAGAAGTC